GCTGGTCCACTGCCGCCGCGTGGCTCGCGGCACCGTGGCGCACCTGGTAGGCGACCGCCGTGGGCGCCTCGGGCAGCGCAGCCAGCCGCTCCTCGAACCGCTTGGTGAACCAAGCCCCGTCGAACGACCAGAGCTGGCAGCTGGGGCCCCGAGCCCCCCGCAGGCGCCGCAAGGTCGCGCCGCCGCCGCCGCCCCAGCAGGCCTCCCGCAGGATCACGCCCTCGTCGGCGCCCGTGACCTTGCTCCTCGCCTCCTCCTCGCTGGGGTAAAGGAGAAGAGCCCACGCGGGCTTCGCCGCCCTGCCAGGCCCGATCAGGGTCTCGGGCGTCATGCCCACCAGGTCGGACGGCAGGCGCAGCATGCCGTCCCACGCCAGCCACAGCGCCGTCGCGAACTCCAGGTCCTCCAGCAGCAGGCTGATCCCGACCGCCGCCAGCACCCAAGGCCGACGCAGAGGGTCTCGAGGTCCTCCTCGGGCACGGCGGCGGAACCCCGCGACTGCTGCACGTGCCACAAGGAAGTTGCCACGGCGAGCCGTCCCCAAGCTGGGTCGCAGGTACTGCAGGGCCGCCAGCAACCTCGAGCCCTCGCCGACCTCCATCCCGTCGAAGAACAGGACGTACATGTACTTGGCGGCCAGCTGGTCGAAGCGCCGAGTGGAGATCTCCACCAGGGCCCCCTCGTTGGCCCACTCTAAGAAGTTCCGCACCCGCTCTCGGAAGGCGGTACGCGTGGGCGGTTTGACCTTGTTGGTCTGCAAGAAGGTTAGCCGGGGCTCGACGTCCTCTCGCGCGTCGCCGTGGCGGGCCGTCCTGGTGCTCGCCCGCTGCCTTCTCAAGATCTCGGCTCGAGTCGCGGGCCGACCTGCTCGACCCCTCGTTGCTGCTGGAGGAGCTGTCGGAGCTGAGGCTGAGGCGGCGCTCGAACCCGTTGGCGCCTCCCAGCGGGCCCTCCTGGTCGCCATTAGGCCGGGGGGCGCTCTCGGCGGCGAAGTCGCGCCCAGGCTGCTCGCGCTGCGCAACCTCGCCGAGGATGCGCGCGCCGCCCGCGCCCCGCCAGGCGGCTGCCTCGCTGCAAGCGCGGGCGAGGGCCGAGGCAGCGAGGCCCCGCGCCTCGCCGGCCCCGAGCTGGCCAGCATGGCGGCAGTCGCCTTCGTGGGAGCTGAGCGGTCGCCCGATGGCGCGGCCCCCCTTGTCCGCCGAGTTAAGCTCGTTTGGGGGCCAGCGCACGGCTACGGAGGACCCCGTCAGGATACTCAAGGCCGCCAACTCTCTGCATGTCTGGTTGAGAACGCAATGTGAAGACCTTCCCTTTTCCAGTGCAAGTGTCAAACTCAAGTTGTCGCATAAGCTAAGGATGACATGACCAAAAGCTCCTGCCCGCCGCAGCCGATGTCTCACGCCAGTGATCAGCGCACGGCCCTCCAGACGCACGATGTCCTCGGGGCGCCGCCAGCGGCCGAACACCTTCAGCTTCCAGGAGTGCAGCGGCAGCAAGAAGCTCGGGTCTATCTCCTCGAAGTTCACCTGGTGCTTGACCGACGTTGACGCACGCCGAACTGGCTGGGCCGCACCTGACGTCCGAGTAGACCCATCGTTTTTTCTTCCCACATCCTGAGCCCGACCAGGCCTGCCGGGCAGCAGGCTCGCGCATCGATCCTCCGCCCTGAGGGCGAGGCACGGTAGAGCACGGGGGTTAAAACTCAAATGCTTGCGGGCGAGCGCCCCTGACCCAAGCAAGTGGGCCACGCGCAGTGCCAGTAAAAGTCGTGAGACAAGGCCGGCACGAGGGGGAAGGAGCGGGAAGAGGAACGAGGAGGAAGGAGGACGGGGACAGGACGAGCCAGTCGAGCCTCCGCTCAGGCCACCAAGCAGGATGCCGAGGCAGCCCCACGCTGTAACGGGGCAGCCCTCAATCCGGGTAAACACGTCACTTTCTGAGCCGCTAAAGTCGTGAAGCGCGGCCGGGAGGAGGAGCAGGGAGGACGAGGAGGACGGGGAGGACGACCTGGTGCCGAAAGCTGGCCCGACAGACCCCGTACATATACGACCAGTAAGCAAGCGTGGCGGGTCGTCTTGGGGCTGTCTGGACCCGCGTGGGGCTCCGGAGCTTGCGGCTGGAACGGGGCCGCTCGCCAGAAAAAGACGCCGGCTGAACAACTCGCCGGGGTGCAATCGAACTGGCATGAGAATTGTGAGACGGGGCCGGCACGAGGAAGAGGGAGGAAGCGGAGGAGAAGGAGGGAGAAACGAATCGCTTCACGAGCACCGGGTGCTCGGGGCGACTGCACGCGGCCTCCGGGCCCGGGAGAGGGAGGGGGGGGGGCAAGCAGGCAAGGCAGGGGGGCAGTCGGGCAGGCGGCGGTGGGGCGGGGGGGCACGGCCGCGGGGTGTGAGCCACCAGACCCCGCCGTTAGGCGCGCGTGCGCGGGGGCGGGCGGGGGCGGGTTGGGGGCTGGGGGGGAGCGACGGGGGCGCGGGAGGGGGCGCCTACGAGGCACCCTCCTCCCGGTCGGGCTAGCGCGCCTGCACCTGCCTGGCGGCGCGGCGCCACAGCTCCGTGCCGATGGCCGCGGCCAGCCGCTTGTACCGCCACTCCCCATCAGAGCAGCCACGCCTCCGCGATTGTTTCATCGCGAGAGTGCGGAGGATGGCTGTCGTCCGGGGGTGGGGGCGGCCGTAGCAGGTGTAGACCAGCGGCTGGTATGTGATGTTCTGCCGCGCCAGAACATCGGCGCGCGCCGAATAGTACTCGACCTTACGCCGGCACATGGTGGCCGCGCAGTCCGGGCCGGCCGCCACGGCGTCAGGCGAGGCGATGCCCACGTCGAGGGCCAAGAGGCCGTTGCCGAGGGCGCCGGTCAGCACGTCGGCTGGTCGGAGGCGCGTTCCTGGCACCAGGCCCGGGGCCTCGAGTTCTGCTCCTGGGTCGCAGACTCTGGCCGCGGCGTGCACCTGGCGCGCCACCGCGTGGTGCCCCCGTGTTGATTCCGCGCGACAGCAGCAGAGGGCGTGCGACCCTGCCCGGTCGAGGACCGCCTGGCCGCAGAGGCCGCGCGGGACTGGGTCCAGCGGCCCGGCGGCGCCCACGCGCAGGCGCAGGGCCTCGGTGAACTCGGGGCTGTCCATCACAGGGCCCTTGTGCTTCGAGAGGTTCCAGAGCCAGGAGTGGTCGCAGTCGGAGTGCTCGAGGTCGTCGAGCCGCCGCAGCGCCGCGTCGTCCCCAGCGTCCGCGTGCCTCTTGCGAAGGTCGTGCCGTCCCTGCTCGTCGAGGTAGCGAAGTAGAGACCGCTGCAGGTGCAGCTGCCGCGTGCGCGGGGCGGAGTTGGGGTGCTCGTTGTCCTCGTCCTCGTCGAGCGGAAGCAAGTTGCGGCCGAGGCCCCGGGGGCGGCCGCGGCGCTCCTGGGGCGCGGCGGCGGGCGCCTCCGCGTGCCGGTTGAAAAGGGCGGCCCAGCGACCCTCGGCTTCCACGGCGGCCTCTGAGAGCGCGGCCACGAGGAGGCTGCCGACCGTGGGCGGTAGGCTGAAGAGAAGGCGGGCCGCGGCGTCGTCCGTGCGCCTGTCGTACTCGGCCATTATGACCCCTGCCTCGCCCAGGCCCCTCTCCGCGAGGTGCGTTGCCATCTCCCGCGCGTGAGGCCTCGAGCACACGCGGCTGGCCACGAAGGCCGCGAGAGACACCTGCGAGGCGGTCCGCATGCCAAAGCCTCCTGTGCTCACGCCGAGCGAGCACTGCTCCCACGCCGCGTCGGGGAGGTCGCCGCCTGCGACAAGCAGCACGGCTTCGCGGAGGTCGTTGTCGAATTGCTGCAAGTGCTCGTCCTTCACCCTGTCCCCGTTGAGTCATAGCTGGTAGGAGAGCTTCGACACGTCGGCGCAGAGCCGTGTGAGCACCAGTTCCGTCGCGGCGTGTCCGACCTCCAGCAGGGCTAGTCGCGTGTCGCGGGCCTTGGTTAGCACGGCCTTGACCTGGTCGTCGAGAGCGTCGGGGCTGCCGAAGGGAGCGCCGAGTGCCAGGGCGGGGCTCTCCGGGGCCAACACGTTGCAAGTGGTCCGAACGTATTCCGTGTCCCAGCCGTCGTAGCGGTGCCGCTCGCTGTCAGGGCAGAGGAGGCGGCAGGAGCTTTTGGCGTTGCCGGCAGCCACAGTCCCGCGGGTGCCGCCGAAGACCGCGAGAGTGTCGTCGAGGCTGCGCAGGAAAGGATCCAGCGCGCGCGGGCGGACGAATATCTGACCGTCGTCGATAAACCACTGCTCGCAGAAACCCGGGGCGGCGGCCCCTGCAGCGGGCGGGCCGGTGCGGGGGGCGCGAGCGGCAGCAAGCGTGAGGCAGGCCTGCACAGTTCCGAAGCCGTCGCCCTGTTCGGCGCCGCGGTCCGTGGTGAAGGTCTCGCCGGAAGGGAGGAGCGTCTCAGAGGGTTCTTGCTGGTGCCAGGAGGTCCAGGCCGCGATCTCCGGGAACCCTGTCGGGCCTATCGAAGACCGCATCGTGTCCCACTCCACGCTGCCGAACATGTTCACGAGGTCCACGTCCAACGCCACCAAGGCGGGGATGGCACCTTGGGCGGCCAGCTCCTCCACCGTTCCGCGCCAGTGCGCCATGGCCTCACAAGCGCCCGGCGCGCCCACGCCCCACTGGTGGGCGGCGCGGAAACGAGCGCGGAGAGCAGGGAGGTGCCGTTTGGAGTAGCGCTTGGCAAAGCTCGTGCGTATAACTTCGCCCATCTTGATAGGCCTTGGTTTGCCGTTGCGCTTCCTCTGCCACATGAGCCGCGCGCGGGTGATCCAGCGCATGGGCCCCTGCAATTCGCCGCCCCGCATGGCCGAGTGAAGCCGCCCCAGGGCCCGCCGAAGGGCGGCTGCTTCGCGCTGCCGCGGCGCGGAAAATAGCTCGGCGAGGTGCTCCGGCCGTGCGCCAGAAGGTCCAGGAGCGGTGAGCTTGCTCCATCGCACGCCATCGAGGGGCCCACCGTCGGCCGAGGCGTCGTCGGGAAGTGTGACCGCGTCTGACATCTCTAGATCCTCAACAGGGCCTGTCACGCCCGTCAACTCCCTGACATCGTCGGACCGCTCGAGGTCTCGCGCAGCCTGGAGGGCATGTCGACGGGCCCCAACGGCGCCCTCAAACTTGTACCGCCAGCGCTCCATGCAGGAGGCCGCGGCCCAAACGTCGTGCTGACTCCAGGTCTTCTCCGTCGCAGCAAAGCCTCCCAAACCCGTGCCCTCCAGGTCTCCTGTGCCAGTGGAAGCGTCCGTAGCCAGAACCACGGGGTCCACGTCCAGCTTGGCGTCCAGGTGGGCGAAGGCGATGAGAGATGCTGCCGCGCGGCACTCGGTGGCCACCTCGGGCCAGAGCCGCCGCCGCCGAGGCCCTGCAGCACGCGCAAAGCGGTAGGCACTGTGGAAGACGCACAGCAAGTAGCGCCGCAAGATGGCGGCCCACGCGCAGTGGCCCAGGAGCGACAGCATGTCGTCGCCGCTGCAGTAGCCGCGCCCCGCGACCTCCAGCAGCGCCAGGCGGAACCTCCAGATGCGGCCCCTGCTCACGGAGATGCGGCCCGTCTCGAAGTCGAAGTTTAAGCCCGTGAACTTCTGCTCCCACGGGTCCGACTGCGCGCCCTTGCACTTCAGATGGCTGGCCTCCAGACGCTGGTGGACCTGCTTTATCGTCGAGCTCACGGACGCGGGGTCGCACCCGATGGCGGCCACGCCGTCGACGTACACAGCAACTCCAGCGACCTCGCTCACATCGGGCACGACGCACCTGTCCTGAATGATGCGGCTCTCGCGGATGCCAGCCGCCACGACCTGCGAGACCACCAGCGCTCGGCAGAAGTACAAGCTCCCAACTCCAGCCCATGGGAAGAACTGTGAGCAGGGGCGAGACCTTGCCCTCCAGCCGGGGGCCGATGTCCACCTCGGGCAGCGCCTCCAGCAGCGCGTCCACGGGCACCGCAGGCAGCACGAACATCTCGTCCAGCCCAGGCGGCACCCCGATGCGGTAGAAGGCTGCCTCGATGTCCACCTGGCTCAGCGAGAGGTTGTGGCTGGCTGGGATCTTCAAGCCGCGCCAAGCACCAGCTGACGGCAGCGCGGTCGTGTCGGGATCGATGAACTCCTGCTTGACAGCCCTCGTGTCAAGGATCATCCTCAACTGGTTTCCCGACTTCTCGACGAAGAACAGGCCCGCCGTAGAAGGGCGCGGAGAAGAAAAGCGAATCAGACCTGCATTTTTCACTCAAGAAGCGGGCGTAGTGGCGTGGAGACCGCCGCAGCTTCTCATCAAAATACGGAACGACTGGGTCGCGAACCTGTTCGGGATCGCGTAGCAGTCGCCGACGCCAATCGCGCCACAACTCGCGAGGGCATCCGTCCAGCAACTCGGAGGCGTCGCACTTCGCGGCGTCGCTGGGGAGGCTCACGCGACCGGTGCACGCGATGGACTTTACGGGCTGACAGTCATAGCCCGGTGTACTTCGGCACAGCTCCGAGAGGGCCGCCGCCGCAGTGCAAGGAAGCCCGTCAAGGGCCTTAATTCTGGCATTCATTTGCTCGATGCCTTGGCGTTGACCCAAGGAGAGAGCCTCGAAGTTGCTCGACGCATCCCGCCCGCGCAGCTAATTAAGACCATGTAGAGCTTCGCATGCCCAGCGAGAAGAATAGAAATATTGGCGAGGACGGCTTCCCCGATGCCGAGTTGAGGAGCAGAAGCCGCTGAAGTCCTCCTCAAGCGGCACCGCCATCTCTGATAATCACTTGCCATCCGCGGCCGCAGCCGCTCCAGATTTGCCTTTTCCCTTCGGGTCAATGGCCGCCAACTTCTCCTTCAGAACCTTGTTCTCGCTCGCTAGCTTGTCGGCGCGGCCCTGCGTGCCCGCGGAGCTGCCGTTGCCTCCGCTGCCGCCTGCCCCGCCACGACGAGCTGTAGATCTCTCCTCTCGCACTTTCCGTCTCTCCTTGAGGACACTCGCCTCCTTGTGCAACTCGTCTGCCACGTAACTTGACAGGCCAGGTGAAATCAGCATGAGGCCGCGGGTCTCTGACGTACCAAGGTAGATGTGCTCGTCTTCGGCTAGATCATCACCCGCCGCACCCGTGCGATGGAGGTACCTGTCCCTGTACTTGTACTCGATCATCTGCGCCTTCCTGCAGATCAGCTCGAAGATAGCCAGCTCTGACACATTCAACTGATCGAATTGAATCCCAACCTGCAGCCGTCGCAGACAAAACTCGTGAAAGTCGACCCCAGCATCTGATGAGGAAAGCCCCGCCTCCGCCTTGAAGCGAGCGTGACGGGAGCGAGGCGCCACATCCTGGTCTCGAATGAAGCGGCACACCCATCCAGCGGTCCTCGGGCCCAGCAAGGGCCAAGACAGCCAAGCGGTCTCCGTGAGCTGATTCACGCCCTTACGGAACCCCAGATGGCGGCCGTCTCCCGCGCTCTCGTGGATCGCCAGCACCCGCGCGTCGAGGGTCGCATCTGGACTCCTGTACTGTACGAGAAAGCTGCTGTTCCCGACCTTCACGAAGCCCAGGCCCTCGCCGATCACCCCATAGGCCACCGTCAAACTCGGCAACTTGGCAGAGCTGCTCTGGTCGCTGCCTGCCAAGATATACATCCCTTGCTGTCGGGATCGGGCAGGCTTGACACACTCTCCCAGTCAGGCGGCGTCGGAGCTGAATCCAAGTCCAAGCCCGCCGCCCTGGGTGCCGATGGGCGCCGCAGCGTCGCCTCCACCTCGGCGAAGGACCGCGCCGACGCGGCCGCCACCGCCTCCAGGAACTCCCGCGGGTCGGGTGTCCAGTCGGCGCCGTACGACCTCGCGTTGGCGGCGGGGGCCGTGCCAACCACTGACGCGCGGTCCCTCCGCCCTTGGTGGACCCTCACTGCGCCCTGAATCACGTCTGTGTGCAGCACGTGGGGGTACATGTCGCCGTCGGGCGTGATCATGTACAAGATCTCGCGCCTCTCCTCCGCTCCCGCTGGGGGAGCTGTCCCCATCACTGTCTGGAACTCTGCCGCGGTGGCGAAGCCCACGACGACGCGCGCCTGCCAGCTCCCGCCTACCCGCCACTGCACCTCGATGCGGTCGCCGATCTCCCAGGCCGCAGCAGCTGCCATTGGCACCAATCAAGGACCCCACGAAGACTCCTGCAGCCAGCACCACGCTGAAGGCGACACGGACGCCGCCGAACACCTGCACTGCGATCGCGCAGGATCCCGCCTCCGAGACCACCGTGCTCTCCGGCACACGGTCCGCGAGCCAGGTCGCCGCCCTGAGCGAGGCCTGCGCAGCAGCTGACATGGGCCGCCGTGAATTAAGCTTGAGCGAATTTGGACGGAGCCCAAAAAGGGCCACGGAAGGACAGACGGGCAACAGCGTTTCAAGAACATGCTCATGATGATGGTCATGCTGATGATTCTGATGATGCTGCTGATGATAGTGGTAATGAGAATGAGGAGGAGGAGGAGGAGGAGGAGGAGGAGGAGGAGAAGAAGGGGGGAGGAGAAGGGAGGAGGAGGAGGAGGAGGAGGAGGGATGGAGGAGGAGGAGGAGGAGGGGAGGAAGGGAGGGGAGAAGGGAGGTGGGAGAAGGGAGGGAGGGGGGGGAACGGTGAAGTCCTCGCTTTTAAAGGCCCGCGGGGGGCAGGACATCGTGCTACTTTACAATCCGAGCAAGGCCCTGTCCAGTTCACAACGCGCTCGCCCAAACGGCCAAATCTGGAGCTAACTCCCGCCCTGCCTCTCAATAGTGCGCTTTCTGCCTCCATTCTACATGCCCCCGTGCATGCAACACCGTCTTAACACGTGCTCGTACTTGCTCCATCGCCTCATCGACGGCCTTTCTGGCCGCAGGAGGAGATGAGGAGAATTGGGGGGAGGATGAAGGGGGGGAGGAGGATGAGGGAGGACCGGTGCAAAGCATGTCGCAATAAACCCTTACTCCAAGTTCCCTCTCCATAAGTCCCTGCTACGATTCATCGTATTGCGGGAAATGCCCCGTTGGATGAAAACTGTCTGAGAATCCTGAACCGTGCCAGAACGCTAATCCTGGGATTCCAGCGCCGCAAATCAACGTTACTGTTGCGTCCTGACGATCCTGAATCGTACCAGATAGCCGTTCCTGGGACTTCAATACCATGAATCAGCGTGATTACTGCGTCCTGGCAGTCCTGCACCGTGCCAGAACATGAACTTCTGGGACGTCAACCACAAGAACCCTTGAACTGCGCGCGACACTATGTGGGGAACACATCTCGAAAATAATAATAACCCTCCTCCATCCGTGAAGTGATTGTAAGTTTTAACACGAATGTGCGTGACGTTAATGCGGAACCCGCATTTTGAAGAACGCCCGCCTTCCACCTATGAAACTCTTGCAAACTTCTGAGAACTATGTGTGTGCGGCGCTCCGTCGAGAACAACATTTCGAAAACAACCCGCCATCCATCCGTGAAGCTCTTGCAGACGTTTGAGACGAATGTGCGCGGCGTTAAGGCGAGAGCCACATGTTGAAAACCACCCTCCCTCCGTCCATGAAGCTCTTGCAAACTTGTTTAGGCGAACGTGCGCGGCGCCAAAACGAGAGCCACATTTTGAAAGCGACCCGCCCTCCACCAGTGAAATTGCTGCAACGCTTAAGCTTCAGGGTCACACATGGTGAGGACGTCGCAGGCGAAACGCCCGGCCCGTCCAACCGACGCGTCCCGAAGGGCGACAAGGAGGAGTTATCGATATGGAAAAATGATGTAGGAGGAGGGGGGGAGGGAGGGAGGGAGGAGAGGGGGGATGAGGAAGAGGGGGAGGGATGGGGAAGGAGGAGGAGGGAGGGTAGAGAAGGAGGGAGAAGGAGGGTGGGAGGAAGAGGAGATGAGGGAGGGAGGAGGGTGGAAGGAGGGAGGGAGGAAGGGAGGGGAGGAAGAGGGAGGAAGGGAGGAGAGGAGGGGGGAGAAGGACGGAGGCCCCCCCCCCCTCCTCCTCCTCCTCCTCCTCCCTCCTCCTCCTCCTCCTCCTCCTCCTCTCCCCTCCTCCTCCTCCTCCTCCTCCTCCTCCTCCTCCTCCTCCTCCTCCTCCTCCTCCTCCCTCGCTCCTCCTCCCCTCCTCCTCCCCCTCCTCCTCCTCGCTCCTCCTCCCCTCCTCCCCCTCCTCCTCCTCCTCCTCCTCCTCGCTCCTCCTCCCCTCCTCCTCCCCCTCCTCCTCCTCCACCGCTGGCGCGGCGAACGGCCCCTCGTTGAGCAGATAGTGCCGACTTGGGACCGCCAGCTCCCCGACGGCAGACTCGAGCGCGCGATCCTGGACCTGCAGTACCAGGACGACGACGGCACCCACTGGCTCGACGTCTCCGTCCGCCACCCTGCAGCCGGCACGCAGGCCGAGCTGCGGCTGGCCGCGCGCCGGCACGGCGAGGCCAGCAGGCGCGGCGAGCGGGAGAAGCACGCCCGCTACCCCGGCGACTGGCTGACGCCCTTCGTCCTCGAGGCGGGGGGGCGGCTCGGCGCCGAGGGCCGCCTCTGGCTGCTAGGGCAGGTGCGGCGCTTGCCCGAAGACGAGCAGCAGCGCGAGCTGGCGCGGGCCTACAAGGTCTTGTCCTGCGGCCTGCAGGCGGCAACAGCGCGCCAGCTCCGGAAGGCGGCCGGCTTGCGCTAGGCGGCGCGCCGCCGGCTAGCGGGCGGAGCCGCCGCGGCGGCGGCAGCAGCGCGGCTCGACACCGGTTAGCGAGGCCGCCGAGCTGACTGACGCGCTGGCGCGGCGGGGCTAGCGCAGGGCGGCGCCGACAGCCGCTTGGGGTCGACGTGGAGCTGGCGGCGACCCCAGCAGCCTGTGTCGGCCCACGGGGGCCACTGGAGACGCTGGAGGGGCGAGCGGCGGCTCGGGCGGCGGCCGGCGGCTGGCTGCCGCGCGCCGCGGCCAGGCGACCTGGCGCGGCGCGGAGAGCGGACGGCGACTCCCTCGCACACGGCGGCACCGGGCCCGGGGGCCCCTGCAGCTGGCCCGACTTGCCCGGCGGCGGCCACCAGCGCTGGACGGCCTCTCGGCGCGGCGCAACTCAGCCGCAGCGCGCTGCCGGGGCGCGGGGCCGTGGCCGGTCGAGGTGCTCTATTTGGACTACCAGAGGTATCTATGGTGCTTCCGCCCTCTCATACCAC